CGAGTGAGATTTTCTCCAAGAAGAAAATTAGTTGACACAATGTCAGTAAGTCGTTTCATGGCGAAGAACAATTGGAATTGGAACATTCAAAGACGGAAAAGTTCGAAATCTCGTTGAATGTGAGATCTCTGAGAGATTTGGGTTTGGAAATTATCGTAGAAACACGAGTGGGTGGTCGAGGGTTGACCGGGGTTTGAATATCATTAAAAGATGGAGGTGATGGGATGAGAGTTTCATCCTCAGAAAGTTCAGGTTCGGGTGTAGTAGTAACACGACGAGTAGCTTTCGCAGCTTTAGCAGCACGAGCAGCAGCAACACGAGTAATAGCAGCGATTCTTGAACGCTTAGGAGGCATTTTGATTGAAAGATGGATGGATGGATTAATTGAAATTAATTCAATAGAATTTTGGTTAAGAGTTAGATGGAAAGATGGATGGATGGATGGATGGAGATAATTCAGTAGAATTTTAATTGAAATTTAGATGGATGGATTTATTGAAATTTAGATGGATGGATTGAATTTAATTCCGTGGAATTTTTGATTGAGAGTTAGATGGATGGATGGATGGAGATAATTCAAAAGAATTTTGGATGAGCAGAAAAACACAAACACAAAACACTGGAAACAACGTTTTCACGCTGAGTAAATCAAAAGAATAAGCAAAGGGGAGAAATGAACACAATCCTGCCTGGGTCGCCAATTTGTGGGGGAAAATTTGAGATGATGAGGTTTAGATGATCACTTAGATCGATGGATTAAGATTGAGACGAAACTCAGATTGATTGAGATGAAACTCGGATGGATTGAGATGAAACTCAGATTAAGTCTTTAGGCTTGGAAGGGAAACAGAAGATTTTCGGTCCCACAAAATTTACCGAATACAAGATTCTTTTAGGATTGTGTCACTTCACTTTACTTACTGATCTATTGATCTCAATGTTAAGCACTTGCATTTAAACTCGATAATTCTTTAGAATTCAAGGTAACAATTAAACATTAACTGTTAAAGATTTAGATGGAACTTAATTGAAATTTTAATTAGAGTACGTTGTAGAGAAAATAAGATCAACTTGAATAGTTGGGAAAATCACAACGACTAAAGAACAAAGGGAAAAATTAGTTCTTTTTAGAATAAAGAACAAGGGGGTAACAATTTAAAGGGGAATCAATTAATGATGAGGAAGGGGTAACAATTAAATTGGGGAACACAATTAAATCAAATTAAAAATTAATCACATTAGTGATGAGTTAAACAATTATTACAAAGTAACTTTTTGTCTCTATGTCAATGATGAAAATATGGTTAACCGAAATGGTTAAGATAAAGATGAACTAAAGATAAACTGTAGGCTTAACAATACATCTTCCTAAAAAACAAAAGAAAGTAAAAAGAAAGATAGAGAGAAAGAGAAAATCGGGTCTCTTACTTTTGTAACCAATTTTTGGTCATCTTAAGATGAAGAGATTTAGGTTAATATAATTAAGAAAATTAGTTAATTGTGTTAAACTAATTCCATCTATAATTATATCTTGAGATATAGATTAAGATTTTTGATTAATTATTATTGGTTAATTAAGTTGGGATATTATAATCTCTTAATTATTTAGATCAATTAATTAGGATTCTAATCAATTTGATTTGTTGAGGTTAACAATTAAGAAATTATAACTATAGTTATGGGAGTGGGTTAAGAATTTAACAATAGAAATTTTTAAATGAACGTGAAAGAAAGCACAACAATTAACTAATTGTTGAGGTGAAATTAAAATTAGAAAGTTTTAAATTGTTTCCAAATCATAATAGTGATGAAAATAGAAAGACTGATTTCATGTTCATGTTGAAATTCATCATATGAATATGTTTCTTTTCAAGATGAATTTGTTGTTTGTTTGGAGTTGAATGCTGGGAGAATCCTAGTTGGTATATATTATTAATATTCAAATTAATGGGGATGCGGATATGATAATTTTAGCATTTTGATTTTCTTGACAAGTTATCACAAGAATAATGAACGTGGTTTACTTTATATACTCACTATGGTGATAGTGAATACCTGGAATCAATTATCATGTAAATTTATATATACTTTCAACTTTGAACTTGAATAATATTCATTGTTACTTGTGAAATATTATATAGAGTTCAGATCACTTGTTGATGTACTCAGTTAACACTACATGGGAATCTAACACAATGAATTATCGTTTGTTAATATCTTGAATTGGTGTGAGTTTGGGAGAGAGAGAGAGAGAGGAAAAAATTGACTCATGAAAAAGTAATTAGAGGAAATTACATGATAATTCATTCTTATCATTTTCAATTCCTGTGTTCATTGTTCATACAGAGACAGAGGAAACTTATTACCAGAACTTTTTTTTTCTTTGGATCGGAAAAAAAGCATAAGTATGAGTAATAATCATGGTTGTAATAAGGTCAAGTGTATACGCTGAATTTCATGGTGATGAGTGTGAAGAGGAGGAGGAGGTAAAAAAACATTCTTAGTATAATATTAGACTTTGAATTCATTGTGATAATCATGATGATTAGTGTTCATCTTGATGAGGAGATGAAAATTTCCTAATCATCTTTTTGTTCACTATCATATTATGGAAGCTTATTAATATTATCAAGATGAAGATAGATAAAGAGAAAGAAAGAAAGAAAGAGTGAGAGAGAGAGAGAGAGAGAGAGAGAACGAAAAATATACATGAAGATGAGGAAGAAAGAAAAAAATTTCATCTTTCCATTCCTATGACAAGGAATTCATGGTATCTTCCCTCTCATAATAGCATCATGGCGTTCAATTTCATGTGAATCATGATGAAGAAAGAAAGAGAAAGAAAGAGAAAGAAACTCTTCCCTTCTTTATAATCATCATTGAGGAACTTTTATCATGATAATGGATCAGAATGGAGAGAATTGATGAGTAAGGAAGAAGATGAATTAAGATGGCGAAAAAAAAATCTTCAACAACCCAAATCACCTAGAATATAATCTGAATGATGCTTATTGAGATGATGATCCAGGGGGTAAGATAAAAGGTATTCCAAACGGTAATCATGAAATATTCTGATGATTCCATGTGTATATTGTATAAGAAAATAAACAAAAAAAGCCTAAAGTTATTTATTAAGGTTACCTGATATTTTTACCTTTGCTATACAAACAACAACTCGCATCCATTCACTTACAGTTAGTAAACATTTCCATTCAATAGCGTGGTGATGATATGATTAACTGTAGATAATTCTGTGAACATGTTGACAGAACTTTTTTCCCCCTTTCAACTCATCATGAAATCATTTTGATGATTGAATAACTTTCCTCCCATTTCCCGACGATTACTAAACATTTATATATTCACGATAATAATAATAACAATTGAATAGAATTAGAACTTTTTTTCTTCTTCTTTTTTTTCTTTTTTTTCTTTCTTACTCATTTTTCTTTGCATGATAATATCGTGAGATTCAATTGCAATCCCATGATATTTATATAAATCATCATGATGAAATTGATATGAAATTTTCCCCTCAACTTCATTGATACTGTCAGATGAGATTCTGTTGTTATTAAATTAAACTCTCCCAATGTAATAATGTTAATTCCCTGAGATTCAGCGACTTTGAATATTACATTGAGATGAGTTATCATGAAGTTTGAACTAGATTCTGGGGATCAGCATGAAATTGAATTAAGATTTTCACATTTCATTGCAATTAAGTTGATTAATTTTTTCGGATAAAAAAACTATTCCAGTTGTTTGTTTTCAATTCATTCATATTAATTGTCAATCTCAATTCAGCTCAATAATCATAACTATCGAGAGATTATCATGAGGGGAAAAAACCAGCTCTAGAGATTATTTTAATTCATTTGGCTAATCCATTAGTTAAGTAAATAATCGGATGAAAAGATGAAATAATTGTGATTTTATTGATTGTTCATTGATTCTGATAACTGATTGATTCATATTCCAACTGAGTAATTGGAGTAACTTTGTATAAATAGATATTAATATAAATATAAATGAAATGAAATCGATTCTCAAAATTGAATGTTAGAACTTCAAGTGAAATAATATTCTCTTTTTTTTCTTGATTCACAATTTTCTTATTTCCTTGTTCATGTTCATGTTGACCTGTTTGGTCACCATGAAAATCACTATAATAACATGAAGACATAACAAGATATCATGAAGAATTAGTTACTAAAGGTGAAATTCAGCAGAAAAAAAAATCAAACATAATGAGATGAAATCCTTTTACAGGTAACATGAAGTTGTAATCAATGGTTATTACAAGGAAAGAAACTAAAGCTTGACCACTGGTAATGTCCATCAAATAGCCTAATAAGTTGAAAGAGGTGTAAAAAGTTTCAATAAATTATTTATAACAAACCAATTTAGTTACAATTAACTTGCTTTCTAATCAAAGGATTACGTGTATCAATTTAATTCAATTTCATCTTTTAAATCATGTATACTATTTATCTCACCATGAATTCGGGTTACCTGAATTTTGCCTGTTCAGAAATAGAAGATGTAACAAAAATAAAAAAGATAACAACATTTATAAGAAAACTGAAAACAACATTTAAATTGGTTTAAGAATAAAAAAGATTGATGAAAATTCAATCTCCCCTGAGGGCATTTGTTTTCAATTTACTCAAATTGTCATGAGTTTGTAACTCAATCGATTCAACTGATTCCCATGTAGGTTAATCTTTTACTCAGTTTTCCCCTTCAAATATTATATATATTTTTATATCTTCAGGTTGATAATATTTATCATTATCATTTGATACAGATAAACATTCAACCAATCTGAGCCAATGCTGGAGGTTATGATGATAGTTTTTATCATGTAAAAAATTTCAAAGGGAGTTGATGGTTTATCCTGAAACTTTGACTACCTGATAATAATTTTGATTATCATCTGTATATGTTATTAAATTAAATGATTGATAAAAGAGAGAGAGAGAGAGAGATAAATTTACCTTGTAAACATCAATTTCACCACAGAAACTGTCAAATTGGGTATACAGGGCGTTCAACATGTTGATCACCATCATGGGTGTGGCATTTGAACAGATGGCAGTGAAACCAACAATGTCCGAGAAAAGCATTGTCACATCATCATATTGTTGAGCTTCAACTTGTTCAGATAACCAGAGTTTCTTGGCGACTTGAGCGGGAAAAATTAGATTTAAAAGGTCAACATTTTTCTTTCTCTCCATGGCAACCGCTTCGTTTGCTTGTTGAATGGATTCACGAAGTTTGTCCATTCGTCGTTTTAAACTTTCCTGAGCTCGAGACTGTTCCTCGACTAGGATAATGTCCCGGGTGGCATCGTGAATCGGAATATCAGATAGGTAGAGACCTCGAGAGGTAAGTGAATCTAAACCATCGACCAGAGGGGAACTCAGGAAGAGAAGGCATTTCGACTCTGGACAAGGTATAATTTGACCTTTTAACTCGAGATTCTAAAGAGAAAGACGAAGAAAAAGAAAGAAGGACAAACGAATAAACCATTTTTGTATCGTTCGGATGAGAGACAAAATCATGACACAAATTATAATACCATTAGATTTTATCATGAATTCAGGATGAAACCATTAAATTGTTGATCACATTCAATCAACATGCAAATGCTATTATCAAATGTTGAGCCAAAATCAATCTGATTAACTTTGCACCATTCACACATCTTATAGATATCAAATCAATGTTTATGAAAAACCTTTCAAATTCATAAAGCATTCATGATTCTGATTACTATTATCATGAACTCACAGACTAAAATTTGCAAATGCAATATCAAAGTAATACATAAACTCGTGACTGAACTGCAAACTATCATGATGATGGTGGTAATAGAGAGTAACCATAATCTAAGTGGAAGAGAATGAAAAAAAAGACCAATGTAACTTTTTTTTCCCAATGAGTTGGAAAAAAAAGTTCTGAGTGAATATAAAAGTTCATGATGTTGATCATGAAAAGTAAAAAAAGTTAAACTATTTTCATACATTATCATGATAACATTGATGTGGAAATGAAAGTTACAAGGGAAATAAAAAAGTCTCCCAGTTGACTTACAGGTATTTTTATCTCGATTTTTTATTTATTTATCATCATCACGTTTAGAACTTATTATTTTTTGTTCTATCTACCAATTCCACCGTTGATTGATTATTATTATGATGTAATAATGGGAAAGAAATGATAACTTTCAAGAAAATTCTTCAATCGATTCTGACAGTTGATTGGAATCTTTTTTTCTCCCTCATCATGAATATAATAAGAACATCAACTCGTTACCGTTGTTTTAATTTCGAGTTTGAAATTTACCTTTGGCTTTGTTTCCAGTTCCGGGTCTAGAACTTTAATGATGAAAGGGATATTGGCCATGGTTACAAGAGATTGATAATTTACATTATCTACTTGTGGATCTTTGAATGCAAAGTAACTTGAAATTTGAGTTCCATAGGCTCGATTACCCCCACCAAAAATCCGAAGAAGACCTGGAAAAATATACAAAGGAACATGTAAAATGACCACAGGTCAGCTGATTAGGTTTCACCATAAGATTTATTACCCTGTATTTTATCAGATTAGAAAGAAAAGAGAGAAAGTTGGATTGATTTTCGATTCTATTTCAACATTCATCTTCTTCTCATGACCATTGGTACTTTTTTCCGATTAAAATGTAATAAGAGATGGAAAATTTATTCGAAAGTTTATTCGTTCTATTCTTAAGTTACAGATTAATGAACTTGATTATTTGTTCGATCTAATTATCTGATAGTATTAATCAAGAAATTCTGATCAATGATTCAGTGGGAAGGATAATCAGTAAGGTTAGTTGTGGGTAGTTTTTTGTAAGGATAATTAGTGAATTATATTCAATTTGTCAAAAAGTTAATCAGGTTAAATCATGTGAATTGAACTTTCTTTGCACCATCAACATTATCCTTGTAATTGTATCATGAAATTAGAGTAAACTTAAAGAATTACTTAATATTAATACCGATAAAACTGATGGTAAAATATTACAAAAGGTAATCTGTAATTCACAATAGAGATTCAATGAGAGTTCTGAGAATAGACTTGTTTAAAGGTGAATATTGTTATCTCTCCCTCTTGTATATATATGAGATGAAATTCTGAAGGCTATTCAATCTCTGGAAGATAAAAAGATGAGGATGAAAGAAAAGATGAAAAAAAGGAAGAGAAAAATTCTGTGACACTTGGAATCAATCAAGTTGACAAAGCTTCTTTTCCTCTGGTGACTTGAGATTGTCAAGGAGGAAGGCGAGAGGAAGATGATAAAGATGAAGATAAGGATAAGGATAAAGATAAAGATGGTGATGATGAAGATAAAGAAAGAGAAGACAAAGGAAAAGAAGGGATGAAGATAAGGGAATACATGTGATAAGGGGGGAAAAGTCTAAAGGATTGGATGAAATGATTCGCATGAAGACTTGGAATTGAAGAGATCAACCAGGCAGATGCTTGAATCTTTATCTGATTTCACGGCTCATCATCCATCTCTATCATCTTCATCTTCATCTTTCTTTTTCTCTTTCTTTCCCATCTGATTTACCATCATCTTCATCTTCATCTTTATCACCATCATCATCACCCATAGTTTTCAATTCTTATCAATGAAACTCTTTATCTCTTGAAACCATTTATCCCAAATGAGCAACAATATAATGAAAGAAAGTCATTAAATCAATTAATATTATTGAATGTCCACTTATGTCCATTATTTTAATTGTCCATTATGTCTACTTATGTAAGTACATCTTGATTATGGATATTTTTTCAATCACAGCTGATCATCAATCTAATCAATTGAAATATTATATTAGACTTATTGTCAGAATTGTTGGAGAAAAAAAAATTGTTCCATTCACATCCATCTTCATCCAATCGCACATCACCATCATCTTAACCTGAGATGATGATGAATTACTACTGGAAGTTTCAGTAACACTAAGAGAGAGAGAGAGAGAGAGAGAGAGAGAGAGAGAGAGAGAGAATTGTATGAACTGTGAATTGTGTCAATCAACAGGAAAAAAGATGAAGATGATAAAAGTTGATCAGATTGGAATAGAGTGAGAGAGGAAAAGATGAGGAGTAGAAGGAAAAAATTCTTGTCACAGTTACATGAGATACTTTTAGGATTCACTTGTTAATAACATAACGATAACAATGATAATCATCATGATAATATATTCAGTGTTGGGTTTCAGTAGTAATAATAATAGTTATGAATTGTCACAAGTCACAATTGGTTTAACTTAACAATCATCATGATGATGATGAATACACTGAATCTATTCATTCATGAACCATATCTATTGGAATATTCTATGTGTATTCATTTCTTCCGTTTCCGGTTCTCTATCCTTTTAACCATATCTTATGACCATCTCATGGAATAGTAATAAATTGTATCACAATATATATGAGAATTTTATTATTAATAAAGAAGATGGAAAGTAAAAGTTTTTCAAAGAATTTGAATTTGAAATTTGAAAATTCTAAGGAAAATGTCAAACTTTTATCTATCAATTCATAATTCACTTTCTTTCAGAAGTTATATTTTCATGTTTAATGATAATAATAAGCTACTCAATCAATTCTGTCAGATTATTATCATATGAACATATTGAACTTTTTTGAAGAAAATTTTTTCTACTTCGAATAAAAAAATCGAAACCTGAATAAACCCTAAGAATCAATAAATTGTATTGATTAAGATATCATGTAAAAGATGAGCATTTAAGGTGATTGATTAATCAAGAGAGGGGAAGAGCAACAATTGAAATTACATTAGTAGTTGATCTAGTTAATTGCTGTAAAAAATTCATGTAATAATTGTGATTGATTTGATTGTTGCTTGAGTCGAGATACATTTATGATTAATAAGTAAATTGCTGGTGCCTATTGATTGACTTTTAGTGGTTCAATTGTATTGGGAATCAAGTAAATTGTTGAAACAATCAATCAAGTAATTAAGGCAATTTTTTATGGGCAAAATTAATTGTTGATGGTTGAAATTTTTTTTCCTAATGATATAACCATATAGATTAATTGTTGATCAATGATTAATGTTGTAATTTGAATATGGTTAACCTTTTGATTACTTGGCTGATTAGATATTATCATTAACCAGTTTATATTATCATGATAATGATTAAGGATCAATATCTGATTATCTTTATGAAAATTACCATAAATTGATAAGAAGACAGAATGAAAAAAGTATGAAATTAACATCAGAATTGAGTAATATCATGATGATAATGATGATACTTGATGATTAAGGTAATGATGAAAATGTAGATAATGATTATCAATCTTAATGCATCAGGAAGGATTTGAAAGGTTATCATGATATTGGTGTTCAGAGTTCAGTTAATTGCTATTGAAATGATAAGAAGAAAAAAAGTTCATTCAAAATCAGATGAACTTTATCATGAATATGAGGGGAAAAATGTAAATTCTAGCCTTTGATACTCTGATATTTGCATTTCAATCGTTAAGATTTGAAAAAAGTTCTAATCTCAATTAAATACAGGGTAATTCTGAGGGGAAGAGATAAATTAAGATGATCTTACCTTCGCCTAATTGTACAATATTTAAATTAGAATCACAGATAAAATGAAATGGAATCGCTTTGCAAAATATTTTCATGGTAATAAGCAAATCTTTTGGATCAGCTGATAAGTTTTTCACTGAACCAGAATCTTCATAAGGTGAAGGTTTTCTCAGACTTTTCATCATCTCTGAAGTTAATGAGCTTTGAGTATGAAGGGTTGACCTTTTGGAGACTTTAAATGTTGGTGTTGTTGTTGTTGTTGTTGTTGTGGTGGTGGTGGTGGTGGATGAAGATGATAGAGAGCATGATGATTGGGTTGTGGTTGGATTTTTATTCATAGAAATATTTCCTGAAGATTCAGTTTTCATGTGAACTTTTTTAGTAGCGGTTGTTGTGTTAGTTACAGTATTGAGCTCCATGTTGTTCAATTGACGATCAATCATGTTAATCATTCATTGAGAATCAAATCATGAAAATTTCAAGGTCACACTTTATGAATAATATTATTATTCACACACATGAACAATTAACTAATCACTAGTTCACTAAATTGGACACAATAAATAACAAGCTCTCCAGGTAAGTCAATAGGACTTCAGGAATAAATTATTGAACTGAATTTTTCCCCTGATTCTCTGAATTGGAAATGCTTCTGTGTTTTACGGTCACCGGCTTCTTATTGGTCTTTTTATCGTTTTGTCATCCTAATTACATGAAAATTTACTGAAGATGATGTAAAGGATGAAGGTGACGAAAATATTTCTCCAATGATGTAACTATTTTTATACTATTTTCTGATAATATTTACCTTTGAAGAGAATCCGATGTCTCCTTTGGAATAGAAAAAAGAAAAAAAAATCGATAAGTTCTTTTGTTATTGTTGGTTGAAAACAGAATTAGTATTAGGAATTCTTGGATTTTTCTTCATGATCAACTTTCTTTTCCTCAGTTATCATGAAAATGGTCAACAAAATATATACCGAAATTGAAATGTAGAGAAAATAGAATTTGAAAAATTGAAACAAGGTAACTTAATGTTCATCCTATTATCATGATATCTGAATGAATCTGAAACAAAATAACAATAGATTCCAGATGATTCATTATATTTGCATGAACATTTTATACCATTAAAGTTTGACTGCATTAGAACGTAGAAAGTGGGCAACGAAAGTTCATCGTATTCATTATAATGTTTCAAAAGTTTTTTTCCACTCACGAAGATCATGATATTCAGCCTTGATTATCATTTACCTCTTTCGTACTGAACCTTTTATCTTATATCAAATTTCGTTATGAGTTTTTTTTCCTCTCCTTCTCTTATTATCGTCATCATTATAATCATCATCTTCCATCGTCATCCATTTTCTTTCACTCTCAGTTTATCCAAGTAATTTTTTCCAGCATGGGAATTGCTCCTGTAAGCTTACTGTTCATTGTTCAGGTTGAAAAAAAGTCCAGGAGTAATGAAATTCTGACGGAATGATAACTTGAATGACTAGAAGCAAATTTAAACATCAAGGTGATGATGATGAAGGAGGAAGAGGAAGTGAGCTAATACCTTTAATATATAATCTAATGTAATCTAATCTAATGTATCCCATGTAAAATTATCATCATTACATGGGTGTTATTATTGTTTCTCTGCCTTTCTTTTTCTCTTTCTTTTTATGGAAATTTTTTCCTCACCATAGAGAGAGAGAGAAATTTTTTTCAAATGAGAACTGAATCAATTTGAGGAAAGCTGATTATTATCATGAACTTTTTTTTCTTAACTTTTTCTCTCCCCAGGTAATATATTATATAAGAATTTTAAAATGAAGATAATACTCATTAGAATATCATTTAGACAGAATTGATGAATTCTTTTATCAGTATGTTACCTTTTCTCAACTTTTCTTTACTCTCAAATGTAATAAAAATTATTCAGAATAAATTATGTTACGTCTCATGATGATTTTCATGATAAAATGAGTCTTAGAATTGTGGGGTGGGCCACCTTATCTAATGACCTTATAATATTCAGATATAAATATATCATAAGATTAGCATATTAAGTAGATTGAGATGATGAAAGGGATGATAAAAGGACCTTTTTTCATCTTATACTCTTTGGTTAAGATGCTTTTTTTGTCTATGTGCGTTTGCTTGTTGAACTTTTTTTTTGCTTTTCTACACGAAAAAAAAGGAACCAGAGAAAAAGGAAAAAAGAATATGGTGAGAGAATCGATAAACATGATAATGATGTTCAGGGTGATAATAAGAATTTAGGGTGATGATGATGAAGGGGAAGAGGAGGTGATGATGGAGGTGGTGGTGGTGGTGAAAGTGTATTGAAAAGCCTGAAGGATGTAAGTCCACCCGAAGATGATCAGGAAAATGATATTGGTTTTCTGTGTAGTCCAATTAAACGATAATTGGATGGTAAAGGTGAGCAAGAGGTGGGAGGGTGGAGGTGATGATATACTATGGAAGAGAAAAAAATGAAAAATAAAAGAAAGAGAGAGAGAGAGAGATGATAAAAGATGAGAGTGGTAAATTAAGAAGAAGAAGGAGAATGAGAAAGAATCGTTTGAGGAGTTGAGGAATAAGGGAAGACAGTGGGAGGGAAGATGGAGGATAGAAGATGATAAAAGTTCAGTGGGTGGAGGATGAGGATGAGGGAATGTTCATAGAAAAGGATGACAAGCTTTGATTCGGGTAATTAGATAGAGAGAATGAGTAGGAAGATAAAATAATGATTAGAAAGATGCAATAAAATATGTTCATCAACAACGAAGTCAAAATGATGATTAGAAAAAGGATGATGAAGGTAAGATGGAGATGATGATAAAATTTGGTTGCAAAGATTTTGTTATATTGTAGTTTACTAATCATCATATTACTAATTAAGACGTTCATCCCTCGTTTGAATCTAGAATTAAGATTCTTAATAGATGAAGATGATTATGATGATGAACAAATTAATTAGCCTCATTCCGGTTGGATAACTTTTAACATGGAACTTTTTTCCCTATCTGAATCTCTCTCTCTCTCTCTCTCATTATCATCATTTTCACCCATTTCATCATCTCTATCACTCCATCATCTTCCCAAAGGTGTATTCAATAGTCAGTTGTTGAAGGCAAAAGGATTTTATCGACTGTAACTTACAAGAAACCAGAGATAATAGTTACTCATCTTCCCCTCTCCCTAATAAAAGATGAAGATGATAATGATTGTGTTTCTGTTGATGGAGATGATGATGAACATGATGATAATAATAAAATAGGAAATGAAATAATATCTTCTTAAGAAATTAAATATCTTCTTTGTGATAACTTCTCATTATCTTGTAGATGAATCATTAGTATGAACTTTTTTTGTTCACTCGAAAAAAAAAGTTCCAAACTTTTTCATCATCATCATCATCATCTCTCTCTCATCTAGTTGATTGTTTCAGCATTTCCCTTGCTTATCATCATGTTCATAATTTATCTGAATCTGTATCATTATCATCATGATTTGCCATCTTCAGTCATGATAATCAAGAGGCTAAATTGATTAACAAGTTTGTTTCTGGTTTCTGTTTTTATCCAATATTAAAACGGAAATTGTTGCAAATTGTTTCTTGCAATTCAGGTCAATATTGCAATAAACAAGACGATGATAATGATGATGATGATGATTGCAATTGTTTATCATCATAAACAACAATATCATTATAATTATCATTAACTTGAAAAACAACAACAACAAAAACTAATAGTAGTTTCTATTGGTTATGTTACATCAAGTTTTGCTTTGTAACTAAATCATAATAAACCTTAATTGTTGCAATTAGATGATAAGTTTTCAACTAAAAAAAATTGAAATTAGATAAAAAAATTAGCTGAAACAATTTTCCTTAAACTCATCTAACAGCAAAAAAATACAACAGAATCAACCAGTTAATGATTAGTGATTTAGACAAAAATGAAATTCAATTGATGATCTGGTTAATCAATCATTATCAAAGGTAATCTTTTAATTCCCACAATCAATTTGCATCAATTTAATAACAAGGTAGATCTACAAAAATGAAGGATGAATCTTATGATTATCTCAAGGAATTATATGAAAAAAAAAATTATTCAGAATTTTCAGAACTTAGATAATATTATAATCATGATTCTGTCTGGTAATCAATTTAATGATGATGGTTAATCATCATGACCTTTGATCACTAGATCTAAATTGATTGTATGGCTTAGAATGGATTGAGAATATTTACCGAATTGTGAATTATTATGATGGGAAAAAGTTCTGACATATTAAATGATAACATTGTTTTCAGGGGAGGTAAAGATTATTCATAGAATATGAGATTCAGACAATCTCCATGGTAAACCTGTGAATCTTTTTTATTCATTTTTCATTTGGACTTTTACTTTGCTTTGATATTCCGGCTCATGGTCATCATTTTAATGATAGAAATGTTTTCCATCATGATGACCATCATGGTTCAGGGTAAATGAATGAATTGAAACAGCTGGTTGATTGTAGGTTATGTCATTAAAAGTTATGTATTATTATTATTAAAGAGGAACCGAACAAAAAAATTGGAACAACTTTCAATCAAACTCATCCATCAACATCTATCATGATCATGTAAAGATGACTAATTCTTGAACTGAACATTCATTTCAGGAAGAGATGATAATTTTTAATATGTTCTCATATATCTAATGGTGACATTATGACAGAAATTCATCAAGTTACCAAAAAATTTTCTTCCCTTAAATTATGATAACGAAATTTTCGTTACTATCTATATATTCATATTTGGGTAATAACTTTGATTTAGTTAAAGTATCAGATAACTTGATGTAAACTATTATTATCTCATGATAATTGATTAGTTTTAATGGTGACAATTGATAAATTGTTGTAACTCACAATGATTTTTATCTGTGTTTATTGGAGCCATTTTTAAATTGATTGTGACAACTTATCAGCAAATAATCAAATTAAATTGTGTTTGTATTTCAGATTCTGGTTTTGTTTTTTTAACTATTTTCATGGATTCAGATTTTTTCATTGGAATTTTTTTTCCTTTTCCCAAAATTCAGTTGATCATGGTGATGGGGCTTTCTTGCTCCTTGCTACTTTTCACAGACTTCATGATGATAATATTATGAATCTTTTATTAATAATATCTATTTATTTGATTGTTTACTTGTTTATCATGATCATGATGGAGATGAAGATGATCAAGTTGATGATAGTCGAATGGGTCACTTGATGGAAACTTTTTTCAGCTTCATGAGAATCATTTTTATTTTGTTTTCTTCTTGGCATGAGAATTGTAAGTTATATTTATCATTCGTTTCTTATGGGAATTATTGTGAATATTTGAATTGGATGATGATAATCTTTAGGCAGAAGATGATATTGTTGAAATAAACGTGATTTTCATGGGAATCATGAGGAAATAAATGAAGAAACGACCAAGAAATTGTATCGATATTAAATTTTAAGGGTGATCTCTTTTTCCTCATTGAAACAGAAAAAGGTAACAGTTGATTCCTAATATTTTACTGACCCTTCCCCTGAATCATCACTTATAATGGTCAATATTTCAACATTTACTCATGATATTCATTGGGAGGCATTTCTTTTTATTCATTTCTTACTGATCAGAACTTTTCCCATGATGATAACTTTATCATTCTGAGTTTTCTGATGCTGATGGATTTTGATTTGAAACTCAAATCTTTTTTACTTTTAAACAAACTGATAGCTGGAAGAAAACGAAATGAAAGAAAATCCTAAAATTAAACTTAAATCATGAGTCAATTTCATGATAATCT